GCCACGTTGGTCAAGAGGCCATCCATTGGCTTCCTTGAATCAAAACCAAATTGCTTTACTCAGGTCCCATACCGGCATTCTTAAAGCACAAGTCTGATCATGTCTACTCTTCCATTCAACAAATGTCAATGGATCACTATTACCTTTAATATAAATACCAACTCATCTTGGGCCTTTGAAGCATTCCACAATCTGGCTCCAACTTTTCTTTCCAGATGCATTTCATGTCATTCCAACCAAATTGGTTGTACGTGACATCCCTTTTTCTGTTTCTGTGCCCCATGCCAGCAATGCTCCCCTCCCTACATTTGCCTCTTTGAAATCCTAGTTCTATTTAAAGCTCCTTTCAAGTGTCATCTTCTACAAGAAGTCTTTCCTGATTCCTCCACTCCACCCCCTGCAATTACTTTGAACATACATCTTCCCCATTAGAACATAAGCCCCTTGGAAGCAGCCTGCTTTGCTTTTGTTTTTTGTATACACAAAACCTAGCTCTGCCCAGCTTACAGTGGACTCTAGATAAACTGAATTATGCTCTGAAGCTACATAAATATTACTTAGAGGATGATTATAAGCCATGAATAATCCTGACTCAGCAACATAAACTAATAGAACTGCCAACAAGCTCTATCAGCCAACTTGGTCAAGGACCCACCCATTGACTTCCTTGAATCAAGACCAGATTGTTTAAACATCTGTTGATTGATGGATGAATTGAGCTGAAGAATCTTGATCCCTGAAGCTTGGTTCATCGAGTCCTTTAAGACATTTATTCCCTAATGTGCTCAGGGAGATTTAGTATGCCCTTTCAAACCTCTGCCTTTAAAAAGGTAAAGCCTTGTTGCTTTGTTAGCTCCCCCGGGTTTTCTGTTATGAACAATGCCTAATTGCAGGGTTTTTCTTAAAGAAAGTCACAATACCTACTCTATTTTAACAGCACATTTACTAAATGGCTCAAAGCTAATAACTGTACATCTGGCTCTCACAGAAGAATCTTTGCATTGAACTCTGCCTGCTTCTTTTCTGACCAAAGGGAAATGGATGGGAGTATCATAGGATCATAGGCTTTCAAACTCAGAGCTGTATGGGACCTCTGAGGCCACCTAATCCAACTCATACCTGACTAAGAATCCCTCCTACCACATGCCCGAGCACTCTTTGGTTGAAGAATTGCATGGAATGCCAACCCACCACCTCCCGAGGCAATACACACCACCTATTTTTATGACTTGAATTGTCGAGAAGCTTTCCCTTCCATCAAGCCAAAATATGCTTGTCCTCAGCCTCCACCCAGTGCTCCTGGTTCTGACATCCAAGGCCAACAGAAAAAGTTCAATCCCTCTTTCACATAAATAGTCCTTAGATACTTAAAGACTATTATCATGTCCTCACTAAGTCCCAAACAGAATGATGTATATAAACTGTGCCTTTACTCCACAGAGAGTATTCCTCACTCTGACAATAATTAAACTGCCACTTGTTTCTGGCACTCCTCCTGTCTCTCACCTGCTTTGTGGGGCTCCCAGTATTCACGAGTTAGCAATCAGTCCTGTCCAGACTACATTTTAAAATTCTATTAACATTGATTGGTGGCAGTGGTTTAAGGATGTAGGGTGAAACTTTGAGCCCTCCAGTACCTGAGAGAAGGAGCCCCTGGACCTTTTCCCAGAATGCCAAGTTGCCTCATATAATAGTTTCAATGCCCTGACACTCCATTATCTGGCCTAGACTTTGATCAAGCCACCTTTCATTTCAAGGAATGTTCCAGGGCCCCTTTTTCTTGACCCATATCACTCTGGTAAAGCCTATTACTTGTTTGTTTGTTTTCTGCACATGAATTGGCATTTTTTTTTTCATGCATCTAGAAGCTTTCTAAACATGCTATCCATTTATCCAAGTCAATAAGGAAAGAGGCAAATAGCGCAGAATGAAGCAGCAATCTCTGGAGCCCACCACTTTGGAGTGAGCACCAGAACATAAATGATTACTCTTTGGATCTGGCCATCTAACTAGTTCTGAATTCATCTAATGATACTATCATCTGGCCCATATCTCTCCATCCTTTCCACAAGAATAACATGAGAGATGGTCATGTTTGTTATGGTTGATACTGCCTTTTCTAGACCTTCACTAACCAATCCTTTAATAACACAAACTAGAATTTTGCCAAGCATCTAAGACAGATCTGTAGCCTCCAGGCTTCATTTTCTTCCCCCTTTAAAACATCGAAATGTTTGTCCTTCTTCAGTCCTATGCCACCCCTCTTCCATTCTTCAAGGTCTTTCAAATCAGCAGCAACTCAGCTATTACAACTGCTAATTATTTTGGTACCCTGGGATGTAGTCATAAGTTACAGATTTAGAATTGGAAGGAGCTTAGAGATGAAGAAACTGTGGTCCAGAGAGGTTAAGTGATTTCTTTGCCCAAGGTCATGAAGGTAGCAAGTGGCAAATCCACTTTGACTGGGAAATCAAAAGGGCAGGTGGGTGATCTCTTACTATACCCTTACATATTAGGGGTTTCAGCCCCTCATTTGCCATTTTGTTCTAACTTTTCTGGTCCAAATAAATTACAGAGCTCAGCACCTCTGCCTTCTCCCCATGATCCATTGCTATCATCTTGTTGAAGCTGAGCAATGAGTCCTCACTTATGCTTTCTTTGTGCCTCCTTTTCCCTTATTATAACTTGAAGAGAAAATACCTTTGTGGTTGGCCTTAGCTTTCCCATCCAGGACCCTATAACTATACCCCAGGGTCCCAGCTCAGTCTGATGCCCCTATTATGTCTCCTGAAAACACCTATAAATAAAAGTCACACTGATTCTGGGAGCAGACTTGAAATGTTAAAGTCAGGCTACCAGTGAGCCTCATTTCACAAAGTTCTGAATGCCCCTAAGGCAAAAATTCCATTTCTACTGTGGAGTAATTTTTTGGAACCCAGATGTATCTGATGATAAAGTACAAGTAAGACTTAGCAGCAACAGGCTTCTGACAGAGGCGGAAAAGGCTCATTCCGTGGTGGCCTGGTTAATGGACAGAAGGCAGGTGTTCTGTGGAGAGCTGCAGGCTGAGGCCAGTTGTTTCTAACAGATCTGTCCAGCAAAAGAGAGCTACACTCTTTGTGATTCCTGAACAGCCAGCAGCAAGACCTGGCTGGGAAGTGGAAAGCTCCCTTCGAAAGGGAAAGGGAAAAAGCAGAGCCCTTTTTTCACCCCTTTCCAGCCACAGGGGCTGCCGGGTGGAAGGCAGACGTAACTCAGTCTGGCAGTGGGGATAGCGGGTGAGCCCTGTGTTGTTAGATGGTGTGAGTGTAAAATTCAAGTATGCCCCGTGCCACAGTGACTCGTTGAGGTGTGTGGGGGTGTCCCACCTCCTTGTCTCTCTCAGAGGGGGCCCGTCTTCAGCTATGGGCCTGTCGGGCAGGGGGCAGGGCGAGCTCCAAAAGCTGTCACCCCACCCTGGGCAGCATAAGCAGCTTCCAGCCAGCTCCTGGCCAAAAAAAAAAAAAACAAAAAAAAAAAACAAGCAAAGAAACAAGAATATCCTCCTCCCTTCAAGCGAGTAGCTGGGAACGAAGAGCTGACACCGCCTAGCACGTATCAGGAATGCTAGGGAAAAGGGATGCTTTAAGCCTCCCCTCGACACACATAGGCACACATAGGCACACATAGGCACACACAGGCAGGCGCGAGCACGCAGGCACGCACACTCATACATACACATATACACACATAGACATAGACACAGACACGGCACATTCAGCATGGAGGCGCAGGGAAGCAGCCACACTCGACTGTAGGTCCTCAGGATCCCCTTCCCCCCTCAACTCCAGCCAGGACCCGGCTGTGCTCTTCCTAGCCGGGCGCCTCCCGATCTCTCAGTTCCAGGGTCCAGCTTCAGCACCAGCTCCAACTCAAGGCTGCCAATCTAGCGGCGTGCCCATGACTATGCCCAGGGCCCCAGGCTCCCAGCTCCGAGATCTATCACCTGCGCCCCCCTCGGGAGAACTCGGGTGATCAGTGGGCACAAGTGTCCGAGCAGGGGACCCGAGGCTGGGGAGCTGAGGGGCAAAGAAGGGGTGAGGGGAGGGGAGGGGAGGGGCAGCCACTCCACGCCGGGCTTGCGAGGCCCCTCCCCCAGGGCCGCAGGCTGGGGGGGATTCCCGGCTTCCACGCTCCTTCCAGCTGTCCAGCTACCAGCCCAGAAAGGAGAGCAGGGCAGACTGAAACGGCCGCGCCGCCTCCTTTCTTCCTTCCTTTCCCCGACGGGTTCCTGCACGCCCCCCGCCTCTCCCCCACCGCGCGGTGAGGGGAAGGAAGGATTGCTAGGGCCCAGCCGCTGTTTCTCTACCCCAGGCAGCAAGGAATGAAAGACTCGTGTGTGTGTGTGTGTGTGTGTGTGTGTGTGTGTGTGTGTGTGTGTGAGAGAGAGAGAGAGAGAGAGAGAGAGAGAGAGAGAGAGAGAGAGAGACAAGCGTGTGTCTAATTTTTGTGTGACTACGTGCCGGTCACCCCTTTGCCGGTGAGGGAGGGTGTGCACATGTGTCTCTGTGTGTGAATGAGTCTGTCTCTGTGTCTCTCGATTTCTCTGTGTGTGTGTGCGTGTGTGTGTGTGACATACACACACACGCACAGCCCGCCACAGGCACGAGTGGACACCCCCTGCGTGTGCATGTGTATACACAGACAGCGTCTTCAGGTTGGTCACAGGCAACGTCTCCCACGCAGCCACCCTCGATGCGTGCACACTTGCATGCGATCTCATTAGACTATTGTTATCATTAAGTTAGTCACACCGACGCCGGCCGAGGTTACTTGCACGCTCACACAGAAACAAGTGTTCCGCCTCCGCCCTCACCTCTTTCATCCTCCCCATTTACTACCCCCCCGCCCCGGCCCCACACACACATATACACACTCACACACACCCCACCATCACCACCAACCGGTCGGTCCGGCAAAGTTTCCCAAGGAAGCGTCGGAGGCGAAAGGGCTCGGCGTACCTTGAATGTGCTGTTTGATGACATTCTCCAGGTGGTCCAGACGCTCGATGATCCTCAGCGTGTCCCCTTTGTCCTCGTCCAGCTTCTTGTCGGGCACCGGCTCCTGCACCCGCACATAGACGCTGGCGATATAGTTGGTGACCCAGCCCACGTAAAGCAGGCAGATGATGTTGGTCATGCCGCTCAGGATCACGCAGGTGGACACCAAAGTTTTGGTCTTCCTGGTGCACACCATCCTGCGCTCCCTCCATAGAGAGGGGGAGCTCCCCACGCTCCCCCTAGCCACTGGACTGCCCCCAATCCCTGCTGTCCCCACACCCACCCACACGCTCCAAAGGACTCCGCGACCTGGAACCGGCGGGATGGCGGGATGCTGAGCTGCCAGGCTCTGAGGTCCGCAGCTTTGGAAAGCAAAGCCCGGGCTGCTAGCTCAGGGCCCCGAGCCCCCACGCGGGATCTTCGCCGCACAGCCCCAAGTTTGTTGCTCCCGCTGCCTCCGCCGGCCAGGCTAATAGCTCTATTTACTAGAAGACCCGCAAACAAATGGGAGAAACGAAGCCGAAGCCCCTCCGGCCGCCGCTCAGCGGCGCCCAGCAGCCCGGCACCGCAGCGCGCAAGTGTGGCAAACTTTGCAGCTGCCCGGGCGCCTGGCCACGCCGCTCCCCATCGCCCTGCGCCGGCTCTCTGGGCAGACCAGCCCGCGCTGCTAGAAGGAAGGAGGAGGTGGCGGCGGCGGCAGCGGCGGCTGCAGCGGGCCGAGCCCGAGAGCAGAACTGCCCGGCCCCCTCCGAGCGACAAGCGCTGCCGCCAATCGCGCTCCGGCTCGGGAGAGGGGCTGGGGAAGTGCGGCCGTGGACCAACGGGGACCGTGCAGGGGGCGGAGTCCCGGCCGGCGCCCCACCTGCTCTGCTCCGTTCCCCAGCCCCCAGCCCAACTCCCCTCTGGCCCGCGCCCCGAGAGAGGCGGGGGAGCCCTCTCCACCCGCCCCAGAGCCCCGGGCTCCAGTCCCACTGCCGGGCCCTGAGCCAGCCAGCGCCTCGTTGGCCACTGGATAGAAGGGCTTTCCTCCCCGCCCCCGAGGCCTGGGAGAGAAGCCCCGAGGTCTGGGGATTGGGGGGTTGGGGGTGGAGCGGGGAGATCCACTGAGTTCTCTTTTCTGCTCCAACCCCCCCCCCCGCCCCCGCAGGGGTCTCCCTCGGCTCTAAATCTCTGGCTCCTAGCTCCAGGGCTCTCTCGGACTCCTCCTATCCAGCCTGGCCGCTGGGATTCCCCGCCGCTGGCCAGCGCCCCAGCTCAGCCTGGACCTGTCTGGGAGAGCTTCCTTCACCAGCGATTCCCCCCGAATTTGTCCCCGCTGGGCAGCTAGCTGCAGAGGAATCTCTGTGGCTGTGACCCCCTGGACCATCTCAGCCGCCCGCCCCGCAGCACCCGCCATTCCATTCCAGCCAGGAAACATTTAAGAGCCAACGATTTGCACTGCGCAGTGCTAGGCGCAAGAGAGATGCAAGGACTGAGAGGGTGGAGGGAGGGAACAGTCCTTGTCTTCAAGGAACTTACAATTTACTGCAGTTAGCCCCAGGCTCTGCCTTCAGAAGCTGAGACCTAGGTGGGCCTCTTATCCCTACTGCCAATTGCTCTACAAAATAGCCTTGAGGTCCACAACGCTGGCCTTACTAGCGATCACTTCCATTTGTTACCTTCCCCCCCCCCCCCCCCCCACCTCCCACCCCAGAAGAGACAGCCAAGTGACAGCAGGTTGGCCCTTGCTTTCGGTGGCACACAGAGAACGCCAGGAAAACCTGGGTTGGGTTCTGGTTTAAAGACACCCGCTTAGCCCAAGCCTGTCGCCAGACTTAATCTGTCACTCACTGGAGAACTAGGCCAACCACGGAGATAGGGACTACCTAGGGGTGGCTACATTTACTGAGGACTGGAGGGGCGGGGGTGGGGCACGTGCCAGGCTCTGATAGTCACACTTATTTTGTTATTGGTGCGGTTATTATTATTCACCGCTCTGAGAGCGCCCACACAGTACCAGCTGCTTTTAATAAAAGATTTTCTTTTCCCCCTTCAATACCAGATTTCCCTCCTCTTCACCTCACCCCCACACCACCTGAGGGGACATTTTCCCTGGGAAAACTCAGAGAGAGGAGCAGAAGGGGGGAGGACACCCGCACCACATCCTCTGCAATGCCACAACTGACGGCCAACCAACCTCCCTGTGACACTCACTCACCCAAGGGATGGTAGTTGTTGCTGGAATCTGAGACCTGGACACTGGGAGCTTGCCCAGTTCCCTCTTCCTGACCTATCCAGCTCTGAGCACATTACTAGTGTCTCCTCCCCTAAATAATATCTCAAAGGATACTGCAAAAAAAGAAAGGATAATATAAAAATAGCATGGTTCTGAGATCCTGAGAGACTTCAGCCCACATCCTGGACAAGTGTGTTTCTGTGTGTATGTGTGTGTATGTGTATGTGTGTGTGTGTGTGAGAGAGAGAGAGAGAGAGAGAGAGAGAGAGAGAGAGAGAGAATGAAAATAGGCTCAAATCAGAGAAATTTGAAATTTGCTGCCTCCATGAGGGAGAAAACTATCTCCTTCATTTTGTCTTCTCCAAAGCTGTGATTCAGCTCATGGTGAAGTCAGATCTCCTAGCTAGATGAGCTTTTGATTTTTTTTAAATGCTTTATTGTATTTTCATTCATTTTGTTAAGTATTTTCCAAAAACATTTTCAGCTAATGTGGGCCACAATTGGACTATGGGCTGCCTGTTTATGTCCTCAGTAAGGAAGCCTTGATCACATCTCTGAAATATATTGGTCCCATGGCCCTAGATCAGTCATTACTCCTCATATAACTCTCTAAAACTCTCAAAGTTACTGAGCTGGTTCAGCTTGCATTGGTGAAAGGAGTTTCCTCATCAAGAGCTCTCCCACACCAGACCAGTCCCTCCCTTTTAAAATAATTACTATTATTGGCATTCTCCTGTATGTGGTGAGGAGGACCAAAAATAGCAAACCAACTCAATACAGTATCTTAAATAGCTACTTCCCTTTAAAATCCCACATCCTCAAATCCAATCCTTCCTTTAAGAAAAGCAGAATGGCCCGGTAACCTGAGATTCTGCATAGTTGGCAACTAAGAGGTTATTACAGTGCTCACCTTCTATTGCTGTTTGACCCTATTGAAGCAATCCTTCAATTTCTGTGAGCTAAGCTAGAGCTCTCAAGTAGGAGTGACCATCACCAGTCACCCTTGTCTCTCCTAAATCACGATCAAAATGATTACCAGACATGTTACAAATAAAAAAAAAACATAATCAGAAGAATTAATACATCTCTCATCTTCAGAGGAACTATCTAAGGATATAACCCCTAAAGTCTTTTTAAAAATTTTTATTTTATTTTTAATTTATGAAATAAAACAGGTATTTCCAAAACATAGTATAATAAAATGATTGCACTTGAAACTGAAAATCTATTATGTACAGTTTGCTAATCCCTTTAAATATATAATAAAGTTATCATGTAACTTTTTCTTCCTTTTTTTATACCCTCCCTCCCACTATAGAAATGGCTAGTATTAGATACAAATATGTATATGTGTGTATATATGTATATATATATACATATATATATATAAAATCATTCTATGCATACTTCTATTTATCAATTCTTTCTCTGGATACAAATAGCATCTTCCTTCATATGTTCTTTGTAGTTATTTATAATACTCAAAATAACTTATCCATTCAAAGTTGTTCTTAAAACAATATTGCTGTTACTGTATACAACATTCTCTTGGTTCTGCTCATTTCACTCTTCATGATTTTGTGTAAGTCTATTCATGTTTTTCTAAGATCATCGAGCCTCTCATTTCTTATAGTACATCACAATCATATAACACAACTGGTTCAGCAATTCCCCAATTGATGGTCATCCCTGCAATTTCCAGTTCTTTACCACTGCAAAGAGAGCTGCCACAAATATTTTAGAGCATATAGGTTCTTTTCCTTTTTCCTAATCATCTTTGGAACTAGACCCAGTAGTGGTATTGCTGGGTCAAAGAGTATACACAGTTTTGTAACTCTTTGGGCATAATTCCAGATTGCTCTCCAAAATGGTTAGATCAGCTCACAACTCCACCAACAATGAATTAGTGTCCCAATTTTTCTGCATACCCTCCAACATTTGTCACTTTCCCCTTCAATCATTTTAGCTCATCTGATAGGTGTAAAATATCTCAAGGCTGTTTTAATTTGCATTTCTCTAATCAATAATGACCTAGAGCATTTTTTCATGTGACTATAAATTGTTTTCATTTCTTAATTGGAAAACTGCCTGTTCATATCCTTTGACCATTTATCAATTGGGGAATGACTCATATTCTTATAGGTTTTACAAAGTTCTTGATATATTTAAGATATAAGACCTTTATCTGAGAAACTGTCCAAAATTTCCCCCCAGTTTTCTGTATTTCTTCTGATCTTGGCTACATTTGTTTTATTTGTAAAAAGCTTTTATAATTTAATGTCATTGAAATTATCCATTTTACACCTCACTCTGCTCTCTGTCTCTTGTTTATTTATAGAGTTCACCTATCCATAAGTCTGACAAGTAATATGTTCCATGTTCTACTTTTCTTGTAATATCTCTCTTTATATCTAGGTCATGTATTCATTTTGACCGTATCTTGGTAAATGGGATATTGGTCCATGCCAAGTTTCTGCCATACTGCTTTCTAGTTTTCCCAACAATTTTTACCAAATAATGAATTCTTATCCCAAAACCTGAAGTCTCTACACTTGTCACTTGTCAAATACAAGGTTACTATATTTATTTGCTGCCATTAATTGTATGTCTACTCTATTCCATTGATCTACCTTTTAATTTCATAGCCAGTACCAGATAATTCTGATAATTATTGCTTTATAATAAAATTTAAGATCTGGTACTCCTAACCCTCTTTCCTTTGCATTTTTTATTAATTCCTTTGATATTTTTGACTTTTTTGTTCTTCCAAATGAATTTTATTATTAATTTTTCTAATTCAGTAAAATTTTTTGGTAATTTAAATGGAATGGCATTGCATATATAAATTAGTTTAAGTAAAATTGTCATTTTCATTATATTGCCCTGCCTACCCATGAACAATTAATATTTCTCCAATTATTTAAATCTGATTTTATTTGTATAAAAAGTTTTTTTTATAATTTTGTTTATCTAGTTCATGGGATAGTTTTGGCAGGTGTACTTACGGGTATTTTATACTGCCTAGAGTTATTTTAAATGGGGTGTCTCTTCTTTTTGCAGGGTTTTGTTTGTGATATATTGGAATGCTGCTGTTTTAGGTGGATTTATTTTATATCCTACTACTTTGCCAAAATTATTGTTTCAACTAACTTTTTAGTTGAGTCTTTGGGATTTTCCAAGTATATAATCATATCATCTGCAAAAAGGGATCCCTATTCTGATTCCTTCTAGAAAGGTGTGTAGATTGAGATTTGGGAGGATGAGGGGAGAGGATAAGGGAGGGACTCTTAGAGAGGTAGGTAGAATAAGGAATAGGAGAATACAGGTAGAAAACAGGGATGGGGTAA